TTTAACACATCATAAGTGAATTAAATGTTGAGTTTGAGAAGAATGCTAATGCTGCTTTTTAGGGACTGTCCCTAATGATAAAGGAAACAATTACAAAGGTGTCTGTAGATTTGGAAAATAAAATGATGTGTTTGCCACTGTTGCATATCAAATAGTGGCAAATGATCCAGTTTGATTTAGATTGCTTTTTGGAGCAGGAGATGTCTCTTGTGTTATCGACGTTAGTGAAGAGGATGGACTAATAGCATAGTCAAATCTAGTGAAGTAAAACTGTCATGGTTTAAAGAACATAGTAATATATTCACTGATGTGTAAGCATGTGTTAGAGGACGTATCAGAACAAGACAACTGTATATTGAGGCAGCAATACATGAGCTAAACTAAACACTTCTCAGCTTATTATGTTTTAAACATTGTAAATTGGTATTCTTCACAGTTACATTGATTAAATATGGCAGAATAACACCCACATCATTTAAAGAATGTCCTTGGTGCACAACACCAGCTCATGTTCAGTATCTACAAAGTAAAATATCCGTCTCAACATTTTCTGTGTTGTGTTCTCCTTTCCACCCTGCAGACCTCGGCTCCCTCTCTCCTCCCCCTCACTCGTCCTCCCCTCACCCCTCTTCTCCTCCTTGAACCTCCTCCTCCCACCCTCTCCTCTCAGACTCACCCACGGCAGAATCCTTGAAGCTTTCCCCTGAATGGCTGCAGGATAATGACCCGATGGAGCTGAGCTGAAGCTGCAAAACAAACTGTTCTGTGAATGCATTTTAAACAAGAGTGATTCAAAAGCACACGATGAGAAACTAAATAAGGCACAAACACATTTTGACAGCTAAGAAAACAAACAAAACTATTAAATAGATGTTTATTTGACTAACTTTGTCTGTAGATGTATTCTTAATACACCAACTTAGCATTAGTGAATGCATCATTTTCATATTCATATCAGAAAACTTGTACAATATAAACACTTATTTGTGGTAATGTGAGCAATCAACCTTGGAAGTTTTATAATGAAATCTATTGGTGTTCACCTCTAATGTCTTACTTAATCTAGGGATACATTTGTATGGCAAAGATCGTCTTAAAATATCCGACCATAATCATTTAAATACTTGTAATTCTCTGTAATATTGTTATCAATATCACAATTGCACTGACAGTCAAAATAGTCGCTTCTTGTTTTTTTCAGCCCTAATCTGATTGGTAGAGAAGATAATTTGATTTATCAGCTGACGGATTACTCCTGTAACAAAGATGAGCTTTGATCAGTCAGCTTGACAACACGCCTACAGGAAATCTGATCTCCTGTCAGTTCCATTGAGCAGCCACACCTGTCTCCACCTTTAAACCTGAAGCAACTGACACGGCAGCCGCTGAATATGAAACATAACGTCTCTGTCTGCTTCCCTTTAAATCAAACGTCTGTTTACTCGTGGTGTCGTGACTTCAGTCTGAATTCACATATGAGCGGGCGGAAAATCATGCAAAGTGGACGTTTGATTTGAGGTTGCCAGGCAACAGTATAAGGCAGCGGCTTTTCAGAGTGACTCAATAGAAAGTGTATGTGTGTGTGTGTGTGTGTGTGTGTGTGTGTGTGTGTGTGTGTGTGTGTGTGTGTGTGTGTGTGTGTGTGTGTGTGTGTGTGTGTTAACTAGAGAGGGAAAACACACGCCTCGTTGCTGCCTTCGTGAGTTTCCATTGGCTGATGTTAGGGAATAATGCAATGATTCAGCATTTCATATGTGGGACACAGCATTACATCCAATTATGACACAGCTGTTATCTCTACATAGATAGTAGAATAATGTATTTCATTTGCCACCACAAACTGTTCTGCTATTATGAACCTTGCGCGTGGCTATCGTTTCCATTATAGAGATTCTATTGTTGTTGTTTTCCATTCCAGTTTGTGTAATTAACTAGACCCTTTCAAACTAGAGGCAAATTCAACCACGTAATGTCCCTTTCTTGGATCACTTTTGCCCAGGGATTGCTGCTAAAAAGTTTAGAATAGGTGTCGCTACAGGGTTTGAATCTTAGAAATATAATTTGTATAATAGGAAAAGGGTGTTTATTTATTTATTATAATCAGATCTGTGGATAGAACAAATTATTTTGATGTAAGGTTAAGTGTATGCTAAATTACTGATGTTTCCCAGCCTGGGTCATCACCCTCTTCAGAGGGACATATTAAGGGTTGTAAGATAATTGAATGCCCTTACACACCGGTTTTTCGTTTTGGGTGGGAATAATTCAAACGTCATTATTTCACACAGTTTTGTCATGAATACTTTCCAACAGAAAGCACATATTAAAGTGGAGAAAAATGTGATCATTTTAAAAATGATTGAAGTTTTATTTTACTTAGGGTCATTTGAGATACCTGTACTATTTGCTCATTTTAATCTGACATTTTGGTAATTGAATTCTCTTGCTTTCGGTAAAGGTCTGCTATATCAGGCTAAAATAACTCGTTTCAGAAAACTTCATACATTTATAAAAATGAGTGTGATGGTTCATTTTAGTTCTTAAAAACAATAGGTTTGAAAATAATATATAAAGATTTGTTCTACTACAGAATCTCAAGTCAGATAAGGCTATACTGTTAATACTCACATCATATTTCAGGAAGGACTGCTTTTAATTTGAACCCCCTGGAACTATCTGTAGTGTCCTCATACCTGCCTCTTCCTGCGTTCCCCTTTATCCTTCGTCTCTGTATGCATTACGTTATTCTGTTTATTGAGCAGGGTGTTGCTGTAAAAGCCGCCTGCCCACAACAAACACTGTAAAGCCTTCATAAACCAGAATACATCTAAATATATATAAACGACTGTTACTTTGAGGCAGGAATGATTTTTTCCAAGTGCTTTGTGCTCGTAGAGAAAAGAGAAGGATAGCTTTTGTGAACGCTCACATTGATCCCCTTTGTATGAAAAGACATTTCATTTCAAGGGAAAGAAATAAAGTGCTGCTTTTGTTTACACACTTCAATTTCAGCTTTTTATTCTTGATGGCGTTTTGCTTTTTTGTTTTATAAACAGCGTCTCATTTCATGTGTAATTGCTCTGTCTGGTTTCTGTGGAATACATTAGTGTGTGTCAAGGCAGCTTGTTTATTTTGGAACAGCTTAGTAAAGTAAATCTTCATGATTTGTATTAGTCGGCCTCCCACTGTTAACCAGTGTTCACATTTTGGAATAGATCTCTTTTAACGTTATGGTTTTATGACCAATTTCATGACTTGGGTCTTTTTCCAACTCCATATATTAGTCATCACAGGATATGTTACTGCAGCCCTGTGAGCAACTCAATGCCCCATCATAGTGTGTCATGTGACTTGATTTTAAAATGGTTATTTTACACTATTCATCATATAAAAGACAATAGGGTCACACAATTGAATGTTAAGGTTATTTGGACGAATTGGGAACTGTACTACTATGATATATGTTTCATTTAAATATATATCATCAACGGATTATGGCGAACTCTTACTTTGTACATTGCATTTAGCTAACTTTTCAACCATCTTTCTATTACTTTTAGCAAACACTTAGAAATATTTGTCCTTACATTTGGCAAACTAACAAGCAGCATTGTTTTACTTCAGAAGTATTCAACTCTTTTTTTAGCTAACTTTTCAAACCAATGATGCATTACTTTTAACAACTGTATAATCCCCCCTGGTTGGAATGACTGATATACAGCATAGACATAACACCTAATTACAAACATGTATTCTAATATAGGCACAGTTTGATATTTCATATTCAATATATCAAATCAATCCAAAGCTATAATTCGTATGCTATAATTATATAACTTTTTCCTTATCACTCTCTGCTTATAATCAGTTAATGAGTTGTAACATTGAAATGATAGAATGAATAAATTCACGTTTGTTTGTGTAAGCTAATGTTTGCTTATTTCAACAGAGAGGACTGTGGTTCCTCTTTTACTGACTCTGTCGTCAGTGTGTGTTTTTTTCTGTTAACCACAGTCGGGTTTGACTTCCTTCATTCTCACAGTGCATAGGGGAGCGTTCACATTTCATCCACTTTGTCTCAACTGTGGCTTCACAAACCTTCCATAGAGACCAGTTCGTGTTGTTTGTGAAAGGGTCATTCACTATAATGGTTTAGCAAAACTTGAAATCAACTACTGTTAGTGAGCCATCTGTAAACAGAGATCAACTTTATACACACAATGGGTGCTTGTTTGTATAGTAAGTTGTACAAGCAAACGCTAAACTGGATGAAACATCGTAAAAGTATTGTTTGATTTAATTATTAGTGTTTATTTGACACTGTAAAGTAGTACTGAATAAATTGTTTATAGGGTTATTTCTTGCTAAGTAGTTTTCACACCACGTTGAGGTGTTAAGGCTTTTTTCATTTAGCTAAATAGTGTCATTTGGTGAGTACTCACTGATCACTGTTTCTCCGTCTTATAATTTGACCTTGGATAGGTTTTTTATACCTGCATTCATAAAGTAGCTCTTCTACAGCATTTGAGATTTCTTTTAAACACATATATACGAAATATGTATTTATAAAAAAACCTGATAATAATGGTAATTCATCACTGATAAATGATTAAGTGTATAACTGAGCAACTGTCTACACTAATAGTTCATTCATCATCAATCATTGTCACAGCGTGTTTCCCAGTGGCAGAAAGTCATGTATTTCAGTGAGTACATTTCATTTGATATACTTTCATAGTTTCCCGCTACTTTTTCATACACTCAACTATGTTTATTTGATTTCACTGCAGACACAACATGCAAGATAATAGTCCAATAATGCTACTATGTTACACTAACATATAGTAAGAACATTTGTAAAAGTTAGTATCTTTCACAGATATAGTTTTCTCTTTAGAAATATCAAAAATGTAATTTAAGCTTTTTGTTTTTTTTGTACTTGTAAATATACTACAAGTAGAGTGTTTTGTGGTTGGAGAACAGTTCAAACCAAACAGATAACAAATCAATAGAAATTTATTTTCTTACTTATCAAAAATATCTGCAACACATTTGCATAGATGAACACAAATAGTTTCCATGATTGTTTCATGTGATTGTATCAACAAGAGGAGAGTCACACCACAAACTGAATTCCTCTCAAAACTGAAGTGTGAATCTAAATGAATGCAGACCCTGTATCTGAAATAACTTAAACATCTTTTGGGGGTAAAGGAGCTCATGTTGACATTATTATATTACTGATCAAATATTTTCTCTGAATCCCAATGGATAACTCCTTATAAACAAGGAAAACAATAAATATTTCAAATATATTACTTCTTGGTTTGTTAAATACTTTCAAATATATCCAATCATGTCACACAAAAAGGCCAAAACTCTTCATGGTCAATCATTATTCTTTTTTCACTTAAATGCTATAATGCTCCTCTGTCACGAATATAATGGAAATGAAAAGTAAGAAATAAACACAAAAGTCTTCAGTCTCTCATAATAACGTTTTCACAGGATGAGTAATCCGATTGACTCCGATGTGTTTTGGGCGGACGTTTCTGTGGGGTACTCCATCACATTTTGACACCACCATTATCCCAGAAATAATCCTTCAGCTTCTCGTGGGGATATTCCTCCATTTGTTCTTTTCCGATGCAATCGCTCCCAAAAAGATCCCTTTTCTTGCATGTTGGAAATCCATAAAAGCTCCACAACTTTCCACCAGGAGGCACCTAATCCAACGAGTCTTGCTGTCGTGCTGCTCCTGGATCAGTTGGCGAACTGTCTGTAGAAGGCGACCTTGACGCGCTCTATCTGGTGGCACAGTTTGATGGCGGGGCCGAGCTTCAGGTCCATGCACTCCTGTACGGTGGGCAGAGTGAGCAGCAGCAGCGCCTGGCCGTCAATGTCCTGCAGGAAGAGATACATTCATATTTAAAGAGACAGTTCAAGAGTAGTGAAGCTTTTCCTCAAGTTCTGAAGCTTGAACTGTCCGACGTGTGGAATCCCTCAGGATGAGACTGC